AGTACATCAACACGGTGGTGTCCTGCCTCGTGTTCGTCCTGGGCATCATCGGCAACTCCACGCTGCTGCGGATCATCTACAAGAACAAGTGCATGAGGAACGGCCCCAACATCCTCATCGCCAGCCTGGCCCTGGGCGACCTGCTTCACATCATCATCGACATCCCCATCAACGTCTACAAGGTGAGGGGGAGCCGGGGATGGGTCCGGGAGCGGGCGCGGGGATGCGGCGGGCGTGCCTCGGGGGCACTCCGTGCCCGGCGGATACCCGTGGCTGCTGGGGGGGAAAGGTGCCCTCCTTCTGGCTGGGAGACACGCGGGGGCTGGACCTCATGCCAAAAACCTGCCGGAAGGTGGTATTCTGGTCAGATGTTGTCCTTATTGTCCTACATGGCACCCCCTCTGTGCCTCAGCCCCAACCCTTTCAGCGGTCTGGGCTGGGAATGGGACAGAAATGTGCGGCTGGAGGCAGCCAGGCTCTGAAAGTCGCCTGGAAACAGGTGCTGTCCTAGGGATAAAGGAAATAAATGCAATAAATAAATGGGCAGTGGGTCCATGGCTTCCCTCCTTTCCCCCCAGGGGGAGGCACAGAAGACCCTTTCCTATGGGGTGGATACCACTCGGTCCCTCCTGTGCTGCTAGGACAGGCTTAGTCACGTACTTCCCTTGGGTCTGTGTAGTCACTGGTGGTATGGGGACTTGTCAGGAAGAACCACGCTCACTCAAACGGAGCGATTTGGATGAGTTTTATACGTCCAGTGGTTGTGAGGCATGATGCCCTTCTGAGCAGTGAACCCTTTCGGCCAGTGTTGCAGGATGGGCAGCCGACAGGGAATGAGCCCCACCTGCTGCTCTTACACCTTCTTTATTCTGCCCTTTGACGTGATAAAACTTGCCGTGGAAAGAGTACAACCTCTGCCTTCTCTACCCCAGCTTGCACAGTCCGTTTGTCCTTAGGAATTCGTTGGGCAGTCGAATCCAGCCTCTTAATTTCGAGCAGCACTCTTGGGAGGGATGCTGGAAATAACAAGGCATCTTCTGCCTTGAGAGTTTACAGTCTGGGTTCCTGAGTAGTGGTCAGTTACTGCATGAAGTGAACATGGGAGCCTCCATCTATTCCTTCTTCTCACTTCCTATGCATGTTTGTAAACTCTAGGGTTTGTAACTTTTAGCTTTGGAAAACGACACTGAAGGGGCAGACAGGTTTTGAGTTTAGTCATCAGTATCCATAGTGATTACTCCCAGAAGCTGCTGAAATGGGAGAACCATGTATCGGTATCCTTTTAAAGTATTTAAGTATTACAAAGCAGGGAACATCATAACTGTGTTAAATTCATGAGCCAGATAATATGGATTACACGAGTTTCTGTATTTTTCATATTATACATTTATTGTAGTTCTTATGAGAGGCATGTACTCTTCTGAGTAAGAGTGGAATTTATGAAACAAAATACGCTGTTTTGAAAAAAGTATTTTTGTATATTTTATCTGTTCTCAGAAAAAATAAAAAAGATTAAATCAATAAGAGCTGCTGAGTACAAGACTTTGCAATCCTAATGACACTATTTCAAAGTTAAATAAATAATAACATGCAATAATATACTGCATGTCCTTATATACATATATATATATATACACACACATATATAGAAGTCCTTACCTTGATTAGATGTCATCAAGTATATCATTAAGAGTAGGCTAGAGTGGGAGGAATAAAAGGTCAGATTGCAATCCGATAAATATTATACCAGCTGCAAGTTAGGATTTTTATGGTGCTATTGATAATGCTAGGAGCTAAGCAATAGCTCTCAGGTGCTAGATGTCCCACCCTGATACACATCTTAATGAAGAGCCCATAATAAATTTACATTATCTCTTACAATAATGAGATATTTGCTGTTTTGAAACAGGACTTTTGAATAAATGTGTTTTTTTAAGGAAAAAAAAAAAACAAACAACAAACCTTAGACATTGTGTTTATTTAATCAAAATTAAGAGTTTGAGTTGGTGATAACTTTTTGTCAGCTCTACATCCCATTTAATTCCACTGGCAGAGCAATGTTATGAGGGAGAATACAGCAATGCAGTCAAAAGCTAGCTATAGTAACCCAGCAGTATGGGAAAAACAAAGGCTACCAAAGGCTTGGTTCGTAAATCAAGTGTACTTAACAGTTGTAACTTGCTATTTGAAATAATTTTAAACTGGATGAAACAGATCTTCAGAATTGCTACCAGATCCTTATTTAGACAGCTGCACGAAAAAGAATGTAAGAGAATTTCCCATGTTAATAAAATGCCAGCAGTTTACTCGACAACGCTTGCAGTAGAAAGTGTGAAAGTGTCTGCGAATGCTTTCCAGACAGACCCATAAGAGAGAATGCAGAATTCGCACCAGGAGCAGCTTTTTGTTAGGTATTAAAAGTGATAGCTGCAAAAGGTGTTTCCTCTGACTATCTAAGATAAGTGAATACGTAAGAAGCTGAAAAAATACACAAATGAAAATTTACATCTCTTAAATTGAGGATATCTAAAGAAAAGGAGGTGTTACCTAGATTATGAGGCAAATGCAGTCCAATGTGTAAGATGGTAATTAGTCCATTGCACTTGATAAATCTGAATATCGATCAATATGTTCAGTAGAAAATGGAAAGTATTGGAGTCTGTCACACAGCCAGGACACTGGGTATGAAATGAGGGCTCGAGAGGTGTTCAGTTCCAGCATGCAGTACCTGGAAGATGTTTTTGGTGTTCAGGGTCCTGGTAAACAGTCTGGCTTTGGCCATACCCCCAGAACTGCAGAATGGGTCATAGAGGAAAGTCTGAGACAATCATTCTGCAGTACATAATGTTGTGGCATGTAGATACTTAGCAAAATTCCTACTAATTGGATGTGAAGGTGGTCCTATGCCTGATCAACTGCTTCACTAAACAGACTAAGTAAGCATGTCTTTGTTAATTTGAGGCTCCAAACAGCAATTAAAGGTGTGAACATAAGGAGCAGAAGGATAGAGTAGGTGATCAGTGAGCTTCTTATGTCCCATGCACTTAATCTTTGGAAGACAAGACCGTGGCAGCTTGTACGCCTGACAGTACGGATCTGCAATTCTGGAAGGGTTATGCTCTGTTTCCCAAATGGATAAAGGTGGTAACTCCCACATGTAAGACGCCAACGCAAAATCAGGATTGGAAATTCCAAACTTAAGTTAGCTCTGCCTCTCATGCACATACGTGTAGTGTGATAGGAACATAGACTTAAAAGAGCTGTAATGAGGTAATATAATAACATGCTTTCTCTTCTGATATATAGACAACATCCCTCATTTTATAATATTTATTCTCCTACATTAAATCCAGTTTATTGTCATGTTCCGATGGATTTTTAAGAGCAGGAACAACCTATCCTCTGCATACTCTTGTGTGGCTTTTTGAACTCTTGACTCTCAATTTGCTGTGACACAAATGACTGTACATGAAGATCTACCTGGAAATACTATCACAGGTTCCTTTATCTCTGAGCTCAATGGAAGAGTGGAGAAAAAAAATTTTCAGGGAAGGAACAAAAACTGGTCTTTATCCAAGTCAATGACCAAAGGCCAAAGTCAGCTTTTTTTTCAATATGTATTTTACAGATTGCATAAAAAAATACAGTTAAAATTATACAGCATTGTCAAGCACTGGAAAGCTAAGAAAGACCAGATTAGGGACTGCATAGCCCATGCAGATGCAAACAGGCCCCTTTGTTAATCCAGCCTGCTCTGAAAAAGGCCGGATTTCCATGGAAATGTCTTTGTGATGACCTTACTGTAAACTCTTGTAATGCAAGTAGCTACAGGGCATGCATCATGATAAAGCCAATCTTTTCCTAACTTTCAAGAAAAGTCAAGGTGCTTGTCTTTAGAAAACATCGTAACTATTCCATATTACAACTCTTGGCCACTGGTCCTTCCGATGTTAAAGATGACAGCCATTTTATTGGGAGAAAGGCATTATTTGCTTGCTTTCAACATTTGAACCATTTACTTGAGTTCTTCCAAAGTTCATCTCAGAATTTCTTATCCAAAGTTTGTTGATCTCTGACCATATTAAGCTAGAAGTCTAGTTTGCTTAGGAGCCCTTTATGGTCAACAAATGTAGCTTATAGGCACTTAGGAAAGATCCGTGTTGTCCAGTGGAGGAACCTGTCTAGACTCTACAGGCAATGGGAGGTGACTTTGCTCTGTTGTTAGATGGGAGCAATCTATTCTGAAGTCCAACATATGGGGTAGTGGAAATGTCTGTACGTTGTTCAAAGTACACATCATCTAGTTTTCACGATGTATCTCCAAACTGAAATAGGTAACGTCCGTATAGATTTGTAAATGTAGTTTTTTCATTATGTTTACATTTATTAAATATTCATTCACTCAAAAGATGCATGTGACAGATATCAAAGCAAGTTTTTACCTTCTCATTTGTTGTTTTGCTTCTGCCCTGTGTTTATGCTTCCCAATGTGACAGCTGCATGGCTTTAACAGTTCATTTTGACTCAGTCCTTTCCCTGGTATTCTGAGACTGCAGAAACTTTTGACTTGACAAGACTCTGAGGTTTCTGTCATTTTCAAGATGTCTGTATGGTATTACTTGATCTTAATTAAGTGGGTTTTTTTAAAAAGGAAGTTTCTAAGCAGAAGTTACAGTTAAAGACACAGGAGAAGACACTAATTGCATGCCTCATATTGTGATTTACACTGTTTATTGGACAGATCAGTAAAGCAGTAAACACTTGGCTTAACTAAGAAGCGAGAAATAGATTTTCTTGTCTAGAGGGAAGATCCCCACCTTGACATCATAATTATTGTTAAATATTAATAAGTTTTGTAATGTTGTCTGACATCCCTGACCATAAGCTTAATTTCCTGGGCAAATTTCCTGTTTTGAAAAATGCTTCCTCCTATGAAATACTGAAAAATACTTTATCTGCCTGATATCCCCATCTCTGCCAGTCATTTCACAGATGTATTGCAAAAATGTTGCTTGTGAATTGTGTGTCTGTTTTCCCGTGTAACTCACCATGATGAAAATCCAGTCCTGTCGTCCTCTGAACTAGACTGCTGTGAATGCACAGCTAGCAGGAAGTACATATTCCTGCTCTGCATTTCTGTGTGCATTCATTGCTCAGGACTAGGACACTGACGTGAATAAGTGCACACTTTGCTACTTCTTCATGCCCAACTGGAGGAAGTTGACAGTAGTGGTTGGAGCCATGGCATCAGCCTTCTGGCTGGTGGCCACAGCTGCTGAGCCATCAAGAGCTTCGTATTGTGCTTGCATGCTGGCGTATTCCAGCAGCAGATTACAAACATCTTTCTGTTCCTACACAACCAAGAGGAAGCAGGGCAGGAATTGCAATTCACAGGTGTGTTTCTGAGTCACAACATCTCTTGGGGCTACTTTCATAGCTGTGCAGCTTTCACATCAGTTTAGGCTCAGATCTGTGCCAGGTCTGAGAAAAGTGTTGGCTAGGAGTGCATCAGATGTATTGGTACTTTTAAGTATGATTTATTTCACTTCATTCTGCACTGTGTTTCCTTTCATTCTATTTAATTTCATTTCATCTTCAACACATTTCTGTGGCTTAGCAGTTACAAGTTTGCCCATGAAAATAAGTGACTATAAATCATTGGAAAATGTCACTCGGAATACAGCTGGTGATAGACTTCTCTTGGCATTTTACTGCTGAAAACACAACATTATTTTTGTCTTTGCTGCCACTTGGCAGTATCTCTTAATTCATTTATCATTTGTAAAATGACAGTCTTTGTACAGATACCCTATTATGAATCATAAGAAAATTGTTTTACCGATACAGAATTGCCTTAGACTACATCTGTACTTCAGTAAGAATAATCATTGCTCTTGTCCACAAATATGATGCTCCTGAATACTTTACAGTGGATTTTCACTGTACTTTAAGGCAGCGTTTTGAGGTGATGGCAATACAGAGGACAATCAGAAACAACAAGGAAGCGTAGTTCAGCAATTAACACTTTCTACTTTTTTTCCTTTTACTTTTTTAATGTTTTCAAGCTTTTGCTGCAGAGTATATCATTAACCACTTGCAACACTATGATAGAGAAACTTATGACTCATGCATTAAAATGCTCAAATTTCACAATACATCAGCTGCAAGAGATAAAGGACATGTTTTTCCAATCCAATTCAGACAGCTGTGTGTCCATTCTGCCCCTGATTTAAGCTGGCTGAATGCAAGTAATATTTTGATGTTAGGCTAAACCCAAGCTAATGCACCCTTTCTCTCAGTAGACTGCATTCACTTGTGTGCGGCCCCATTATAATCCAGCCATATGGCTCCCAAAGTGGAGCTGGCTCAAATCCAGTCAGCTTGGAGCACAGGTGTGACTGTCTACACCTGAGAGATAAGCATTAGTTCAGGGAACTCTCCGATGTGTGGCTGAGCAGTTGTGATTTCAGAGAAGAGAGACAGGGAGTGGCTTGCACATACACTAGTTGTAGCTAAAGTCTCAACAGAATCTTCCAACAGGAATTTGATCAAGGTTCTGAATTTGAGTTCAATGAAGAACAAAATATTTTAATTTTGAAGCGCTTTTTTAATGAGTCATCTCTGGTTTCATTTATACACGTGTAAAATATACAACAAATACTACAAAAAAAGTATACAACGTACTTGCTACCCAATCCTTGATTTCTCTAGCAACTAGCTGTGGTAGGCTGGAGGCTCACTGCCTGATGGATATAAGTTAAATTGGTCCAGGTGTCACCTGATGCTGTAGAACACCTGTGATTATTCACACTGCAATTTTAATAGGAGTTTGTTACTATCAATCCCTTAGAGCAATTCAGAAGAAATCTCAGGGAGAGGCATTACTGAAAATACTTTAATTACAGACTGAGTTATTTTCCCACATCACATAAGTAAAATATACTGTATGGTTATTACAGCCTCTTCCCTACTTCCTCTGCTTTATTACTTACCATAAAATTCTCAAGAAATATAAATCCTTAGAATTTGTTTTTCAGCTTAATTTCTGCAGAAGCATTGTCCTCTTTGTCTTACTTAAGTAGATAATTTAAGAAATAGATGAAAGCTGGGATATGTTACAGTTTTCCTACCG